GATAACAACAATGAAGGCTGCAGGATTTTTATCAGTCGGAGGCAGAGATGGCCCAGTCGGAGGCAGAGATGGCCCAAATTGCTTTTTCATGGGTGGCGGATCAGAACCATTCTCTCACTGAACAGAATTGGTTCTATTTTATGAATCATCTTTATGAAAACGATCGGGAACGAAGAGTGAATCAAAAGCGGAAAGAGAAGTTGGAGGCAAAGAGCTAATCTACCGAACAGTGGGATGAGAAGAAGAGCCTCGATCAAGCGCTAGTTCCCTGCATTGATTTCTTTCAACTGTACTTTTGAAATTTCCTAAACCTGCTTCCTACATAAAAATAACAATAATTTGAAAAAGTCGGGAGTCGATTTTAACATGGGAGGATAAACATTATTTCCTGCCCTAAAATGAGAAGCAAACTTCCCTGACACGTTTCCAACAACAGCTCCGAGTGGTAAACTCTAAAAGAGCTCTGATCTTTTTTTTTTTTTTTTTTTTTTTTTTTTTTTTTTTTTTTTTTTTTTTTTTAAATCACTGTTCATTCGTTCAGTAAAGTGAAGTGGTTCCTTGAATCAACTCAGCGAATCGTCGAACTCTAGTACGAGATACTGTTGATTCAATTATTCAAGAGGGACTAGTTTGCAAAGAAAGAAGGAAGGAAGTTAAAGTTCACCTTATCTTCATTCTTCTTTTTTCACAGAAGGACGATCTTGATGGAGCACTAGAGTATTTAGATATACTCCTTTAGATTATGTAAGTGAATAATTTTAGTTCGAATTTAATATAGCTTTGCTCAGTGTGTGACATGTTTGGGGGAAAATGTCAGATTGATTTAAGTTGTTTTTCAAAAAAAACTTTTAATGTACGTTAATCTTATTATAATTATCGTTAAGCCCAACTTTAGGTAGTACTGTATAGAATTTATTTTCTACCATAACTGTGCATTAAGTGAGATATCCCACGGCTGTTTTTGAGCTATATTTGCATACCTTGCATTAATTAAAAGAGAACAATCAGTTGTTTAAATTAACCAGCAATAAATATTAAAAAAGTAAGCAAACAAACAAAGAACTGAAATTGCGTCGCTGAATGTATTCTTTGCAGTATTAAGAATGAGCATTATGAAACTGTCTATGCTTTGATTTATTTTTGAGATAATTACTGTTCGTTTTTACAAGTGACATTTTCACTTTGATATCCATTTCCTAATTTGGGCTTTAAATAAGCTGTTTAGGCTTCTTTGATAAAAAAAAGAAGCAGGAACTCTTTTCTGTTCATTATCTTTATGTGCACCAAAAAAGAGGATTATTATCTCTGTTAGACAAATGAAGATTAAATGCATGAAATTCGATAGTTTTTAATCCAAGTACGCTTTGAATTATTTTACGCTCGAAAGTACTCATAGAAAAGGAAATATTAAAAAGCAGTTGCAGACTTCTATATCACATTAGGTAATTTCTATTGAATATCGAATATTTTCAGTAATGCTTACTTACTTTTGAAGTGAGTAAAAGAAATAATTTCACTAATGTCACTAATATCACGGGCCTAGATATGTTTTCAGTTGAAGCTAAACAGCTCCAATATATGCAGTTAAAATAAACTCTATTTGTACACTTAAACAGATTAATATATTTACTAATTTAGACAAATTTACTATATTTGTACAAAGTTAATTATATTATTGTTAAAATTGTAATTCTCTAAAGCTTACAATATTTTAATGGTAATTTTATTTGGAAACTAGGATAAAAATATTTTATGGAAGTTATTAATATTATATGAAAATTAGGCTAAAAGACACGTAATGATTAACAGTTTTCAAATAAAAAACTTTAAAAAAATACCTTCTTTTTGATAAATAGGTTATAGTACTGGAATACTATAAATAGTTGTGGAATTAATGTAAAAAAGTATTACACTGGGTTTTGAAGCTCCCCCCTTTTTTTTCTTTCTTTTTTTTTTTTTTTTTTTTTTTTTCTTTCTTTTTTTTCTTTTTTACTTTTCCCCATTTTACAGTTTTGAACAGTTTTCATTGTAAACTGTCAAACTGTTCGCCAACTAGAAAACGAATTCAAAATTATATATCTCTATTTTGTTTGTAAGCCTAAAACAGCTATCACTTCTTTCACTTTAGAGTGAAATGTTTTTCTGAAAAATTAATTTTCTTATCAATTTTTTATTAACTGCCTAGTTTATTTACGTTTATTTAAGTGCTTTTAAGTTTATTTTTCAAGAATATTTTTGAAAATATGCTTTAAATAAAATATTTAAAAATATATTTCTTTGCTTCTTAAATACGGCTAAGCATATAAAAATGATTGATTAAGGCAAAACAAAGTCTATATCCATATGGGAAATAATGCCTTTGTGGTGGATTTTTTAAAATAAACTATATTGTATTCACGTCACACATGTGGAAAACCAAACATGTAGCCCTTTCACAAACCAAACCCTTTCACAAGCCGGGTCGACTTTACACTGGACCTCTGCTGAGGTCAAAATAAGCATACAAGATGTGTACAGCCATAATTTTTTTAAGCAGGAAACGTGAAAAATATGCGCTGTCCTCGCTCGAACTCGAACCCCTGGATCTTTCTAATACGCGTCGAAGGTGTTTCCAATTATACCAAGAAGGCGTGCTGAAAGGAGGAAGAAAATACTTTATAGGACTACCTGTTAGATTGAGATGCCTTCGTGAAAGGCTTTCTAGGACAGCTACATTATACGCTGGAATATCCTTAAAACTATCCACAATCAAGTAATCCACATATCGGGATTCGAACTCAAATTAATTACGTTATTAGAAGTGCAACTTAGTTTAAATTACAATTGTTGATTTCAAGGCTTGATTTTTCTTTTTTTTAACTGTAATAACAAGCTGAAAATTTTATGAAGCACGAGATATTTATTCTTCTATTTTGGTTTAAATATTAATAATTTTAAATCGTTAATAATTAAATAGGTTTTTAATTCAATTTGTTAAGTTATTAAGCCAAAGCAGGCAACGGCTATCTGCCTAAACGAAAGAATGCCTGTACAGAAGAGTTCTAGAGTAACGAATTGTTACACACGACGGAGGAAAAACGAAAGTAGTCGTGCAGCTCGCCCGTTTGCCAGAATTTTAGCTTGGTTTCAACTACTAGTGTTCTGTAGGCTAATTCATTCGGACGAAAAATTACAATTATTTTACAATAATTCCTTTGATTACAGTTATTTCCTAGCAACCTTAATTATTACTGAGTATTTACAGGTTATATTTTAACTCAATTTCTATTTTTATAAAAATATTAATAAAGAAAAACTTTTATTTTTATTATAGTTACTTTTCCAGTTTTAAAATATTTTTCACAGCAGAAAATGAGAAACCTCACATCTTACCTCACATCTTTGCATCTCAATCTTAACAGGAAATGAAACTGAAAAGTCAGTTTGTTTAAAATTTGTTCAGTAACAATTGCAATTATTCCTTGAATAACTGTACATGAAATCAACTGCACAGTTCTGAGAGAAATTAAATATGGATAGAAACGAAATGGAAAAAGAAAATATAGTATATCTCATTTTTAGACATCTTGTTTTAATCTTTTAGTGCTATTATAATGGATTTTTTAGCGTTATGCCTACTGAAACAAACACCAGAGGGTAAATTCCACGTTTCAGTTCGCAGACTTTGAAAAGAATTTTATGTTGTTATGAGGCAGTATAAACAGTAAGAGTTGCAATTTAGGTTAAAGAGAGGCAGTAAAAAATTTCTAATATATGCAGCGTGATAATTAATATGGAGGTTCAATCTGCGCAGCTGATTACCACAATTATAAATCAACCTCCATATGTTAGATCCAATAATAAATTTTAATATTAGAAAATAGTGCAAGCAGTTCTATGAAACTAGCATTTGTCAGTATATTATGAGGATTTATCTATTTATTTTTAACTAAAATTAATTTTAAGTGCATTTCGGTCACTCTCTTTTTCAGCTACATTTTTCATGCCAGAATGCCAAATGAGATAGCGAGCGTTTATTCAGACTGAGAGAGTAACAAGGGCTATTTAAGCGAAGGATTCGCAAGTTGATTTTAGAGCGTGTTCTGCCTACTTCGGGCCACGTTGTTACCGTGACTTAACAACTTTTATGATTCTGTGGCGATGAGTGCTTCTAGCTATTAGGCTTGTCTCGCCGGTTTTTCTACAAACCAGAGCCTTTTCTGCGCGTTTCTTTATTCTGTGAATCGTTAGGCTAATTTTATTACACTTGATTTTAGTTCAGCATTACGTATTTAAGTTAAGCCAGTAGTGTTGGCTTGTGTAAATCCAAGTTGCGTCATTGTTACTTCTTTGTGTTCAAATAAAAGTATCTTATATACCCTTCTTCTGACTTTTGTTTTTTAGTCATAAAACTTGAAGATAATTCTTCTATAGTCCTTTTTTAAATTTGATAGTGTGTGCTTCCTAAGAATACCAGACTTAATAATATAATAATTATTCTCTTAGTTTAGCTGAATTGTCTTTATTGAAAAATTCTTCTTAAGCCTTTTCTAGAAGTAAACGAAAACCACGCGAAAAGACATCTATTAAAAAAATGACTGCATTAAGTCAATAAAGTAAATCAGTTTATTCAGAATTAAATATTTTCGTTCCTTATTACACTGACATTATGCTGAGTGTAAAGGTAAACTGAGAAACGTCATCCTGATAATAAGATGGCTATGAAAAGCTAATTAATGAAAAGCAGACTAATAGAGCACAGAGAATGAAAGAAGTATTAAGAATGATATATTTTAAATTATTCTAAATAGAGTTAATAAAGGTTTACTACTATCAGTGTTACGTTTGAAAATGGAACTTCCTATTGTGTTTCAGAGTTGAAAGTTAATAATAGTAATTTGTTTTTTAAATGAATTTCTCGCAAGTCGTAGCTAATTTTGGAACCTTTTCTACTTGTTCACCAGAGGTAAGTGTCTCACTTACCGGCTCCGCTAATAGCGATTTTTTTTTCCTACTCGCAGGCCAAGAGATGTCACGCCGATGAACCTTCAAAAAGCAGTTTTTCCCCATTCTGGATAAAAGTGCTGTCAATTTTTTATCACTGAAAGAACAACTGGCTAATTGGCAGACACTGAGGCACCAAAAGAGAAGCTTCAGCTGCATTGTTCACCAAGCTAAGAACTGAAAATCCATATGTGTGTAAAATGCATGAAAAGATCTAAGTGTTTTAACGTAAACGTTGTACAAAATCTCTCATTTTATGTATGTGATTTTGTTTCAAAAATATATGTGCGTTTTCTGGACGGGGATGAGATTTTTAATTCTTAAGTAAATGCCCACAAAACATTACAGCTAAATTCTTAGAACATTGTAGCTATAAACACAAAACACTTGTGTTAATATTCTGTTATTGTTTTTAAGTAAACAGTTACTACTCCGTGGTCATGCATAACCATTAATAATATTTAACCTGAGCGATTAAAACTCATCAAGTATAAATTCCATCTTAAAAATTAAGGCTTTGAAATATTTTTAAAGGACAGCAATATTTTACCTTTCCCATACATACATATTATCTCTCTGTTCTCGTCTGGAGCAATTTAAAAAATGGTTTTATGTTATTATACACTAAAAAGAAGCTTTTATTTTTCCATTCTGGTTAAAATAAATAAATAAATAAAACACAAAATCTAAAATAAAATAAGAAAATAACTTTCGATGTCCGATTTTATAATGCATGGCATTAAATCATCGTTGCATAAAATAGATTGATGATGTTAGGTGTTTGAAAAATTATCATTTCAAAGATATTTATTAAAAAATATCTTTGAATGTATCTTTGCATTACATTACTTTGATCATCTTTGTATTACACCAAGTGGATATATTGCTAAGCATATTCATGCTAAAATTCGTTGATAATCGAGGCGCAAACGACGTTTCTGTACCGAGATACATAATATGTAGCGTTAAAAACTTTTAATAAATACAGTGTTTTTTTTTCAGATCTTTACAAAAATTATTAATTACTTATAGTGTATATCGTATTAATTAGATATTGCAGATTACTGCTCTGCAGATACTTTATTACAAGATAAAGTAACATCATAAATTGCTAAGAACTACTTTAAAGTACTGCTTCTAAATCGCTTAATTTTTAAGCAAAGTATTAGTTTGATTTGAAATATTAATTAACAGCTTTATGCCGTGTCAAATGGCATCACTTCTGAGAAATGGTAATTTGAGAAACCGCGTGGAGGACAGATTAAAAATCGCTAAGCCTTGCGGAGATTTGCCAGGTATTGTTTATGCACGTGGTTACGAATGATACATATTCTATAGATATTTTTGATAAGAAAAATGCATTGAGTGAATATAAAGGACAAAGAAAAAAAGCTCAGAATAAAATTTAGTAGTAATTTATAACATATAAATTTACAACATGACTAAATTTCGCTAGTAATACCATACTAGACATAAATCATTAGCAACTAAAAAATATCCCATGTGCCAAAAATGGGTGGCTTAATGTTACCGAAAATTAATAAGGTAATTTAATATCTTCGCATACATAAGTACATCTTAGTGCTCAAGTTTATACTAACAATTCTTGTTGTAAAAGTCACACTCAATGAGATTCCGTTGAATTTGTAAGCTCACATCTGTCCCACCTGCCAGAGAGCTAACAGCTACACGTTTACAGATCTGTATTCACTGGAAGTTGGGATAATAATAATAAATCCGTTTTCCTAAAGTAGTCTTGCAAGCAGACAATGTAGCTAGCGAACATATTGCTGATTTTTTCCCACTGGAACTGAAACGAGGTGTATACGAATAGCATCATTTTCCATTACCAAAAATTCAAAACCTACCCTTGCAAGAAAACGACAATAGAAGTTCGATGTGCATCGGAATTGTTTCTTCGAAACATAAAATTTTCCTGCTACTACTTCTGACATTAGAAATATTTTTAGTGTAGTCTTCTTAATTTCGGGAGAATCTTTAAACCACGCCATTTGTCTGGTATGATTTGAAATGATATAATTACATTCCAGATCCTACTTGGATCTTAAACCTATTTTTCATGCGACGCCATAAATAACTACTTTCTAGAGTGTTACTATGCGACTTCATATAAAATCTTTAATTTATTTTTCAAATTATAATTACTTAACAAACTAAACCATTAAAAAGAATAAACGTCCTTCTTGGTGATTTAAATCTTTATCATTTTTTTATTTTTATTTTTATGATACATTTTATTGTATAATTTTGCATGCATTAAATTCACAATATATATGCAACTGGCAATTCTTAACATTTCCAGTATGGTTATATTTACTAAAATACAGTGTCTAATGCCATATATTGCGTAATCTTACAGAATGTACATATACCTCCACCCATAGAGGCTTTGCTTTTTAATATACAAGCATATGAAAATTAAATTTTACACAATTCTTAGGAATGCTTTCTATCAGCAGCGTTTGAATATCTCTTTGAACTTCTGCACTCCAAAGTAACCAAACTTTAAATCCAAGTAACTTTCAATTTTAACAACCTTCGAATCCCCAGAATTTGCAAATTCTAAAACAATCTTTTGTCTTAAATATCATTTCCATTACTCTAAGATAAAAAGCTGCCGTAGTGCTAGCAGTTATGTTGGCTGTAAACAATTAATGAATGTATCCGTAAGTTCTCGTTGTCAGTATCCATTGCTAGATTCCATTTCCACAAATGGTCATTTCTTTCATTTCAAATTTATCTCTTTTCTCAGAAAATGACAAAAAAAGTTCATGGAAATAAATTTCCCTTCAATTTATTTTTTTGATTGCAATAAATTTAGCAAAACCCACCTAAACAATCATTTAGAATGACGCAGATAAAAAAGATGGAATCCTTTAGGTGGAAGATAGAATTTCAATTTTGACAGACAAAGCACATTTCCAGAATCTTATTATGAATATTTCCCTCATTTCTAAATGAAGATTGCTCTTTCAGAAAATAATCCTTCTAGACTTGGATAAAAATAACCAATTTTATTCTTGATTCCTGATATTATAACAACACATGTTATATGTCCTTCGCACAGGTTTGTGTGACATTATTTTTCATCACATACGCACAGTCAGTTGAAGGGCATGAACACATACAATATTTCTGCGAATTTAATTATACACATAGCCATCAAGGACACGACTTCCTTTTGATGTTAAGATAGGATATCATCAAATAGTATTGATTCTTCGTGTATTTCATGCAAATTCACCATCAAAGACATACAAAACGTTACAAATTACAAAAATGAAATCTCTAAAAGCATACAGAAAAGCGATCAACAAAATATTTAAGATGTTTCGCATTTTTATATCGAATATTATTCAAATAAAACCGCATATAAAAGGTGAAAGTGAAAACCACCACGGTAACTGAAATATAGGAAAAAGTAACACAGTACAAAGTCCGAAATCCGGAATCGTTGGGACTTCGGCGATTCCGGATTTGGAATTTTTCCGGATATTAGATCATCAGTTTAAATCTAGTAAGATGGCTTGTAGAAATTATAAAATTAAAAATATGAAACCGTAATTTATGAAATAAAGAACAATTATGATCTAAAGGGTATCAAAATTTACAAAAAAAAAAAAAAAGCTTAATATTTATTTGTTTACCTTATTAAATATTTTTTTCCAATGTAAGTTGTTTAAGTTGCTCCGCTTTTTGTGCTAATACTTTCTCTTTAATTCTGTAGACAGACACAATCTCTTGTTCAGTTACATTGTTGAAGTCCTGTAACTGCTGTTTCGAGAATTCCGACTAACTTGTCAATCGAAATTTTCTCGTTTTCAGTAACTTCTCTGTCACATTCTTCACTATCGGTAGCGGTATTTTCTGGATCTGGTGTGGTGTGGTGTATTTATTTGGCAAAGCACACAGGGCTATCTGCCTAAGGGAGGATGCCTTCGTGGAGGACTTTCTAAGAAACTGGCTTCGTATACACGTTACACATGGGGAAAACCACGAAAACGCCCATGCAGCCAGCCCGTTCGCGGGATTCGAACCTCGGACCGAACTACCAGTGTTCAGCGTCTTTACCGCTCGGCCGCTGGTGGGCCTTTCTGGATCTAGAACCATACTACAGATTTCGCCATTCATTAATTGATTGATGATTGAGAAGCATTGTCGACACAATGAAAAACTTCTTTTATATTATCTTCATTTATTACCGCTTCTCCACATTTCTTTACAAAATACGTTAATTAGAAAATTTCACTTGTTTTAAGATATCCGAAATCTTTAAAATCAGCGCCTATCATCATCAAATTTAGCTATCTTTCACTTTACATATTTGGCTATGCATCATGAGCTTGGCGACTAACGACAAGTTGTTACGTTAAATTTTATCTTGTTTCTATCGCGCACTTAGACAATTAAGCCTGAATTGTATTAGTTATTTATTGTACTTATGTCTATTTCTTGCACATGCTTAAGGCTTATTAGAGTTCTGACTAAATAAATTCCCACATATACTTAAGCCTTATTGAGGGCCGGCGCTACATATCTTAAGGGCCGTTCCCACTGGAGTTTCTCTGAGCTAACGGGGACAACTGACGTAGCCGACCCATCTCCAAAACCATTTTTTCCCATAGGGCAGTAAGTTGAAAAATCTGACCTGCAGGCATAGCGGAGCTAGTCGACACAGGGAACTGACTGCGTTAGCTCAGATAAACTCCAGCGGGAACGGCCCTTTACCGCCTGATACAGTCTCAGTGGGTCCTAAATTCTACCACTCCGTGTCAAAGAACGTCTATGTAAAGAAGGAAAGATTCCATAGATGTAATGTAAACCAGTTTGCTATTATGCCACCAGAAACCGGAGGGAAAATTCACCAAGGAACGGCGACGGTGATGGAATCACTAACTGTTCCAGTCCGGTGACGAAAACTGGCGGCGAGAATTTCCCTCTCCTCGATGTGTACAGGATATTGAGGAACACTTGTTAAGAAGAAACGTTCTTTGACAAAATGTTTTTTCTTTGACTTTTCGCAATAATTGAAACTCGGATTTTCGTAATTTTTTTTGGCTCAAAATAACTAATCCATTAATTAATTTACCTGCGCGAAAAAATATTTTCTTTTTCTTTAAAGTTTAAAGAAATTTTAAACGATATTCGCTTTATGAACTCTTCATAGCGTGACCTTCGAACTTGACACCGGCTCGAGCTTTGGCTCTTTGGCGACAGATATTTTGCGCATGCGCAGCTGTTTCCCTCTACGTTGGAGCGGAGCCACTCCTGTAGTAGATAAGTTTTTCTTCTTAATAATACATATTCTTTGTCCGTGTGGTCATACGAGCCCTAGTGCTGTTTCTGGGTTTATGTGAATAACAAACCAGTTATTCTTAATAGCCCTAAATGTAATCTTTGGGTCTATGAGTATTATCAACAAAATATATTTTTAGCATATGGAAAGAAAGTTTTGGTAAATTGTTCCTCGTGAACATTTTTAGCATGTTTAACTGAAATCTGTGATCATCGCCAAGCGTAATGTCAAAATAGAAGGTTACCATACTCCTTTATTGTTCAATTACTAGCATAAAAAAATTGTTTAGGCATCGCTACATGAGTCATTAGTCAAGTTGTCATGTTTTGATAAACATGCCGTGATGTATAATAAACAATGATTCGCCAGGTTGGCGTCAGATCAACGATGTATCTATGTGGAATGTTTCGGTTTGAGATGTGTGCCAAAAAGCAGATACACAGCAACGGGGCCAAATTACTGATCGTACATATTTATGCTAAAAGGTTTGTTTCTTCAATAACAAGGTATTTTATTTAGTGTCGAAGTGATATTAAGAATTGGTACTCTCCAGATGTTTTATTATGCGCGGAGGGGGGAATCAAATGCCCATGCGTAAAACCTAGGAGAAAAACGTTGTTGGTGGTTTTAAGGTCCAGATTTTAGATCATTTCGGATAATGGACGTCCGGATTTCGGACTTTGTACTGTATTACTGTATCACACAACATTTTAAGCATATATAATGTTTATTAGTTCTTTAACAGCTTTTTCGAGTTCATACAGCTGCTGAAAACTTGCATTCGTTAGATGGCTGCAAATCCATAAAAGTAAGGTTTCGAAGCGATTTATCAAATATTCATCAAAAAATTCATTAAGCCTTTCGCTGACATGTATAAGATCACTCAGGCGTATTATACAGTTTTTCAAAATCAGTAATGAAGCAGAAGATGGTACATCTCTCTTTAGGATCTCTGAAATCTTTCTGCGCACATCAAAAAAAGTGGACGGAACGGAACAATGACTACCAAATATCGAATTGAAACGATAATACACTTTACTTAATTCACCAGTAGTATCACAATTTTTCAAAACGAATTTTTTAGCTTTTAGTAATTCGGTTTTGTATCGCCTGCTGTTAGAAACAGGAACACCACAAAGAGGACAATTCGGCCAATCAAAAGAAAACAAGCATATTTCAATGTGCTCATTCAACCTATTAACTTCAATTATATGTTCACAATCTTCAAGTAAAACGCAATTATCACCGACTGAAAATTCACAGTTATTGCATTCCAAACATACACATGGATCTCCACATAAACCAATGCACTTATGATTACATGGTAAAATTGCGCTACACGCTACAACGCATGGACCAACTGTACACTCCTCAAAGCATTTATTGGTACATTTTATATGATCACAACTTCTCACACAATTTTCATTACATTCTACACATGGTCGAATACATTTATTAATGCAATATGCACCATGAGGACAAGATAAATAGCATTTTCTCTCACATGGTGGACAAGGACTTCCACAGTAACCTTGACATTTATGACCACAAGGTAACATCAATTCACATTTTTCAATACAAAATGCATGAATTCCAATGTCAAAACACCAGCGGCAAAAGCCTACACAAGGGTGACCACAATTCAGTAATGTATCACATGATTTAGTACAGAATGAGAGAAGTTCATCCTCTGCCATGTTCAAACTGCATGGAACATAAACAGTATGGCCACAAGGACTTATTTTAGGCTGAAGTTCATTACAAACAAAATGAGCTATATTGTTTCTATTAAAGCAAGGGACATCTTTTACATGCCCACAGGAAAGTTTTACAGATACTAATTTTTGGCATTTGTGGTCTGGATACATCTACATAACAGGGTAAAGTGTCTAAATGGGAGCATGGTAAGCATCGTTGCACTTCTTCCTCACATCTCAGACTATCAATACTTCTTGAATAGTGACCACATGGTAGTTCAACAGCACGTTTCTTAACACGTTTACATGGCTGGTAACATAATCTGGGGCAAATGCGTGATTCATCTATAAATTTTGTACAAGCCATTTGACAAAAATATCTGAGGTGATCACTGTCATCCAAATGGCAACTACGATTACATTTATGACCACAAGAAAGTTCAAAATCACATTTTTCACTACATCCAGATTTTAAAAATGCTACTATATCATCAGCAGTTTTTACTTCTGACACGGTTTTGTGTTGATGACACTGCACTGGTAATTTTTCTCCTACCATATTCTTCGTTTCCAGTTTTGTTACCATCGAATTCCATAGTTCACTTTTCCTTGAAAATAATTTAAAATTTCCAATACAAAACATACCTTTCTTAGCACGAGACAAAGCAACACAGACTCGGTTTTTTTCTTTCAGAAATCCAATAAATCCTGAATTGCTTCTCACAAAAGATATCAAAATTATATCGTTTTCTTCACCTTGATAATTATCAACAGTGGTGGGACACATATCAAGATTTACTTCATTTAAGTATTGTTGAATAAGGACTACTTGAGCAGCATACGTAGCAAGTATTGTAATTTGGTCAGCAGAATACGACTGAGCACACAAATACTGCGCCAGACTAACAATCACGCGAGCCTCAAACTCATTTGATGCACTAACAGAGGAAGAGTTTATATTTTCTGGTTCAGAATGGTTTAAGAAAAAGACACTAGATTTAACGCCCTTTATTTCTTCATATTTATAAACATTTTCAGCACTTCTTAATTCGTCATATATTTCTGGCACAAGTAGTTCTGCAATACAAGGTTTCATACGATGCTGAGTTACCAGCGTTGCTGATGGAGCAGAATTGCGAAAAAGCCTTTCAAACATTGATATTTTAAGATTATGTTTTTCAGAAAGCTCATGATTGGCTGGAATTGGTCGTAACTGTTTATGATCTCCAATGAGAATAAGGTGCTGAATGGATGGCACTAGTGAAGCAATGATATGAGACTCCAGTACTTCAGCAGCTTCTTCAACAATCATAATTGTAGGCTCTGCAAACTTTAGTAAATCTTTATACTTTGAAGCACCAGTTGTGGTAACTCCAATTATGTCTGCCTGTTTTAACGATTCTCGTTTAGTCTTATCTAGTATATATGGCTGTTGGCAATGGAAAAATGTTTTTTGGTAGTTTTCAACTGCTTTTGTAACAGATGTTTTGCATAATGATATATAGTCTTCTTTCCACTTCGAAAAAAGTACATACCTTGTATTAAGGTCCAAGGACCAAAGATCGTCAGAAGTTTCATATTTACAATGTGTCGGAATAGCGCTGTTAACTGAAATCCTGTCAATTCTTTTTTTATATTCTTCATATGGATCATTAAAACATGTGATACACAGCCATTCATATATATTTTTACTTAGACATTTACTGTCTGTTCTACAAAGTATTTTAAATTCCCGTTTGTGCACTGGGTTAATTATTTTTTCTAAAGCTCTATCGTCCAAAAATTTATGCTCACAAATATCTATAAAATATAGATTGTCATTAATTTCGTCACATATATCTTCAAGCTCTTTTGATGTATGGAAATCATTCATTACGCCAGTCATTACATATGGTTCAAGTAACTCACTTTTACTTTGACTACCAAGTCTTACTACTTTATTTGTATACAATAAAATACGTTCCAGAAATTGATCAAGAGCGTGATTTGTAAGACAGCTAATGATTATAGGAGATCTTTGAACATTATTTAACAAATAGTTCACAATTTTCACACCAATGAAAGTTTTGCCTGTACCAGGAGGGCCCTGAATTATAGCAACTTTTTTTGTGAGAGCTATTCTTACAGCTTCGCACTGCTGATCATCTAACTGCAATTCTTCTGCTGTTGGCCATGCACTTTTATCATGAGGATCAAATATCTTACAGGAATGAGAATCATGGTCTAAAACATCTCCTGGGCATTTCTCATGTAAACAATACTGCATATTACTCAAATACTCGGGTTCAGCTTCTTCATAATTCAGATAAACTATTATATCAGCTAATGGAAAGCTATTTTCTGTAAACTCTCTTATTGCTGAAAGTACATGACGGTAACATTCAAAGTAGGCAGAAGTTTCAATCATCAGGTATTGGTATTTTGGATTCAGTTTATCCAACATAAGATCATCTTCCAGTAAGATAGTTAATATACAGTTTTCACTTCTTCCTTTGCTAGATTTCACTTTCTTTACACTAGCAAAAATTGCTGAATGAAATGAATCAGCAGTAAGACACACCAAACTCCCAGGCAACAAATTTATTTTCTTTGTAGTGAATATTTGGAGCTTATACTGAATACCTTTCACTGTATATTCTGGTGGGTATACTACATTAACTCCTTGATATAAATTACATCCAGTCTTGAATACTGAACCTTGATCTGAATTCATACATAAATTTATACAATCTCTAAATGTTCGAAGCATATCTTCACGCATCAAGCGATAATGTACACTCAAATAATGGGTAACACTTTTGTAAGGAGCATCAATAATATTAATAGGCAAATTCACAATTTCACAATTAACAATATCATTATCTTTAGGAACTACCGATAATTTACGGAAATTCTCCACTCTGTCCTCCTCATCATCTGATGTACCAATAGGTTCATCATATTTATCCACTAAGGCTTTCAAACCTTGAAACTGTTCCAATGCAACTTCTATGTTTCTAACTTTCAGTTCTTTGAGTCGATTGATGAAATTCTGCACAGTAAGAAAAGTAACTCCAATTTCAGCCACAGCAAAATGTTTAAGTATGTTTTTTAAAACACATATATAATTGGCAATGAACATCACAATATTTATGTCTTGTTTTTGAATCAAGCACTTTCCTATCACTGAAGGTAGGTCATCATATAGGAATTTGTTACAATCCTTCAACATTCTAAGAAGCTTTCGCAAAGAGCCCAAATGCTTCTTCTCGGAACAAGCATGGCTTAAGATTTCAAGAATAATTTCTACATCTTTCAAACATACTTCACCATTGACAGAAACATATTTCTGTGTCTTTAAATAATGTTCAAAACCCAAACGAGTATCATTCAGCTTAGTAAGCAATTCACTGCTTCTCTTGTCAATTAACAAAACCAAGTCATCTGTTGATAAATTGTGAACAAATTCTTTTTTCGACATTATAATCTGTTTTTAAAGGGTAGAGCAAATCACCTGAAAAAAAAAAGTTCTGCTTAGAAATATTGCACAAACAATTACGATTTGAACAAAAAGAAGAGTAAAATGAAAATAAGTTACAGGTTACCATGGAAAACTTATGAGATACTAACACCAGTTGGCAAGAAACGAGCAAGGAAAATGGTGAACTGATGTATGTACAGCTAGAAGGAGCAAACTTCACATGATGTGTTTGGGATGAAGCTAAAGCAATCATTGCATATGTAAACTGCGAAATTGGCTCATCAAAGCAGCAATGACAATCTACAGTGCAGTGCAATGAAACACTACAACTTTCATTTGTGCAAGATATATAAAACAAGCTACACAGAACAAATTCTTACCAGCTCAAAACAACATGCATTATCTATATTAACACAAATTAGTATTCTTTCTATCCAGTATCGCTTACTTTACGTGTGATGGCACAAAATGAAATAAAATTTTATTGGAACAGTCACTTAGTCACTATAAATCATGTTCAATACTTATCAAGATTTCATAGAGGATTGTCACAATGCACAACCCTTCTTTTAGCCTACCTCAAACATTTTCAATAGGGAATAAAATCAGGTGATAGAGGCAGTCAAGGATGAAGTGAAAAATGGTAACTGTAGATAAAATTTGCAGCTTTGCGGTGATACAGGGAAAAGTTGCAAGCACGTTAATGAAGAATGTCACTGATATACCCAATAATTGATATGACGGCTTGATTTCTTATGAGAGATCTATTTTTGAATATGGTAATACACCAAAGAAGAATGTTCAAGTGGTATGCTGGGTATGACCAAGACCCACACTCTGTTTACACTAGACACATACGGTTACCCAAAAGTCTCCTTAACATTTGAAAATTCAATTATTCACGGAACAATGTAAGTAGAAAGTTAAAAATTGACACACATGCTTGAAATGACATGGGGTTTTATTGAAAGCAAAACAAATTGCAAGGAAAGACCAAGTTATGGCGCTGGGCAGCAAAATGTCAGCGACGCCGCATGAGAATCGTATATGAAATGAGCTGTAGTGTGAGGGGGAATCAGTCCCTTCATGACTTTGTCGCTTTTCTCTCCTCGCTTCTGGGTGATGGTCACGGTGTGATATAGATTTGTTACATCAGACGTGTTCAGACCCTTTTTCTTCGACGAAATGCGTGGTTCTGCTACTAAAACTATGAGTGTGATAGGTGCGAGGTAGGCTAACATGTTTCAGAATCGCATCATCCCTAGTCTGGCTGATGAACGCCTGTTGGAAAATATGACTTTTATGCAGGATGGCGCTCCACCCCATATAAACGTTTATCACTTACACGTGTAAAAGATCCGTTGCATACATCGCTTGGTGAGAATCTCGCGCTGAGCCGCCACTTCAGTCATGCTTGGCTTCTCAGATCCCCAAATCTCAGTCGGTGTGATTATGGTTGTGGGACCTGAAATCGCGTCTACCACGATCGTACAATCTCAGAAAGAACACATGAATACTGAAAGACAACATCCGACGTCAGTTTTTCACCATACCTACGATATGCTGTACAGTGCTGTTCACAACATTGTCCCTCGACTACAGATTTTGTTGATGAATGACGGCCGACATGATGAGAATTTGTTACAAAGAACATAGTCTTTGCAAAAAATAAATTGTTATGCTAATTATTGTTTTTGTTATCATTTGAAGCACTATCTGTTGGCCGTTTGAAGCACTTTTTTGCTTTCAATAAAACCCCATGATGACATTTCAAGCGTGTGTGTCAGTTGTTACCTCTGTACCTACATTATTCAGTGAATTACTGAATTTAAATGTTAACGTATTTTGGGTCACCCCGTACATGCAACCATTATTTTCACTTAAGCAAATCTATCATTAATCACAGAAGACAACATCATGCCACTCAATCAACAATTCAAGATCTTCAGTGCATGATGACAGTCTCGCAATGTGTTGCTGATAAGCCTAAATAATTTGACAAGCGCTTGATGGAAGCATAATTGAGAATGTAATGATCGCAGGTGATAGGTGACGGAGGACGGGGACGCCTGGCGTCTAACAGAGGTAAACAGGCATATGTCCCACGCCCTCCCCTATCCAGACGCAACAACTACTTGTGGCCCCATAAGGGCGCACCAGGAGTTTATCGTTACTTCAACATAAATTACCACTTACTCATAAATTACTGCCCACTGATAACATATAAATTCTGCTTATTCGTAAATTATCGCATACACATAAGTTACTGCTTGCACCTGAATTACTGCTTACACATAAATTACTGCTTGCACATGAAATACTGCCTACATTAATATGATTACATTAATATGGTGCATTAATATGATGCTCAATTACATATACATGCTACATTACACGTTAATTTGATACATAATTACACATTATTATGATACAAATACTGCTTATACATTAATATGATACACAATTGCATAATACATTGTACATATGGCAACATTCAGATCGCAGTTTACTCATATTGGGTTATTCAGTGCGGAGTATGAAACAAAATTGTAACGACCGCAGCAAGTTGATCAATCAGATCGCAATAAGTTACTGCATTATGACAGTCGCGCAATAAGTTGTTGATAAGCCCAAGTAATTTGACAAGCGGCTGACGGAAGCATAATTCAGAATGTAACGAATAGCGACATACTGTAAAAAATGAAACTGGTAGAGGTATCCACCACTGTTGTGTCAATACCGTCAATGGCGTATTACAGACAACACGTTCTGATGACATAATAACTTTGTCGCATCATTGTCTGCATTTTGTGTCCAGAATCCTCTCACTGTGTTCTTTATCCTTCCTGGAATTCATCTCTGCGTACTCTTGCAATTACAGCAAATCTGAATCCCATTTGTCTGGTAATTTCCTGGAAAGAAAATTCTCTGATGCCAATGAAGTGTCTTCTGCCAAAATCACCTATGTGAATGAGCCATTATTTTACACAATTTAAAGGCATTCTTTATCGTTGCTAAACGAAGACTAAACGCTTCTTCTCACAATAAAAGAAACATGATTCATTGATCTTCACTTACAAAGATGTTTTCCCCATCAAATACTATTTACCAGTTACTTTTCGTCCTCTAATGAGCCCATCTTCTGAATCTCGCACGCAAATGATGTAATCACATGTGCGTTTTCTACTGTTTACCTTATGGTTGTAGCAGAGATCTATAAACTTAGTTTCTTGCGAGACTGTTGCTGCCTTAAGTTTTTCACAATAATCTTCAGTTTGTTTTTTATTAATTAATCATTTACACCTAATAAGTTATATATGGAATGATTTAACTTGAATAGAATATTTAATCACCTGAATACGCACAGCATTAAACAATTCATAGAATTAAATTTATTTCAGATTCTCTTGGCTCCCTGGTCTCAGTAAGACATCTAAATCCATTAAAAGCTGAAGAAGAAATTTTAGGACATTATATTATATTTCTCATAGGGCATAAAATAAGTAACATGCTCTAAAATTAATATAGTATCAACTGTATTCATAGAAGTAAACTATGAAGGTAACATAATTTGTAAGACTGTCACAATTCAGTGCGATTACTCTAGTAATTAGGTGATGTGATGGTAATAAATAATAACAATATTAGTAAACAAGAGCTATTAAAAATCAAAACCAGATAATTACTTATAAACTTGGCTTTGAATAACATCACATTTGTGTAATAATGCTCTAATAAAAACAGCCTTTATAGCCTCTTATAGAAAACCTATTAAACTGTTAACAAACTCTTCTGTACACACATATGAAACTAATTAAGTTCTAGAAAGATAACTGCTCTTTATAGCAACATTATGACGTGGCATTCACTTATACATATTATCACATGAAAATTTAGATATAAATCTGGCCCTGCCTGACCCTATAATTAAGGTTTTCTACTGCTAGAAAATCTACATCTCATCATGAACTTACATGAGTTTCTCTATATTATTATATGATATATTTTTACATTGTTTTTATGAATGACATATTCGTTTGCAGCATTCTGTTTCTACTGTTTACATTATGGCTGTAGCAGAGATCTACAGACCTAGTTTCTTGAGAGACTGTTGCTGCTTTGTTTTAGGCTTTTTTGTGTCTGCCTCTTTTTTTGCTTTCCACAATAATCTTCAATTTGTTTTCTATTGATTAATCCCTTACACCTAATACTTTACATATGGTATGGTTATACAGTCGGTATACAAATAGTGCTGGACTGTAGCCAATAGCGCGAAAAACATTATGAACTGGAAACCCTGCAAAGCAGTTAATTGTGTAACTCGCTTGTTCTTTACACTTACTTTTCTAACTTCTACAGGAAATGATAGTGATATGACACTTTCTATTATATAACTCTTTTTCGAAATATATATTTGTGATACTAACGAATATTAATCTATTTTCATGTATTAATAAAGTATGTGTTTCACTTACAATTTCCGTCTACAACCTTTTTTGGATTACAAGATAGTTAGCTATCATCTCGCTTGAAACTGCTGTGGATACAAGGTAAGAGAAATCCTTTTGTTCTCTACTTTTATTAATGTGTTGTGAAATTTCGAGGCTATTAAAATGTTTTACAACAAAAGATTATGAGACTGAAGGAAAGATCATAGCTTAATTAAATAATATATAAAAATGCTTTACAATAAACGGTTATGAGACTAAAGGTAAGATCATAGCTTAATTAAATAATAATAAAGAAAAAACTGTAAAAGCTAAACTGCAGTTTCATATCAAACCCGAAAATAAATTTATCGACGATACAAAATGTTTAACTAAAGTCAAATGCAAATTGCAAAACTGAATTCCAGCAATCCCAACATGGAAATTCAAAATGCAAATGCTACTAATAAAGGAGGATCTTTTACGATGTAATCGAAGATGTTCCTCCAAGCCCTATTACAGAACAATGGTAAACGGGATCGACAATGTGGCGCGGTGATAAATTTGTTTATC